GGGGGGTAGCTTCGTTGCCAGGCCTCTTCAACATCTGTCCACTAGCCTTCTTCCCGGCTTGCTTCGCCCGGGCCTTTGCCAATAAGCGTTCCTTGACGTCCATCAACACTTTTGCGAAACAACAAAGGAAAGCAATTAGCACGTCAACAAAGAGAAAAAGAAAAGAACGTAGAGGACGCACTAACTACAGAACCTCCCCTACCGAGGAAGGCTGGGCTAATCCCAGCGAAGACTAGGGGGACCTCCTCCTCCACCAACGTCTTTGCCTGGAATGTTCCCATCACAAGTAAATGAGCCACTATTGCAGCCTCTTCGTTTCGGAGTGGTGGGGGACTTCTCTCGACGACGAGGTGGCGCTTTCATGGGGAGAGTCATTCCCCCGGTGATTGCCCTCGACACCCTCCAAGGTTAACCTCTCCCTCAAAACGGCTACATCCCGTTGATGGGGGACTACAGCTAAAGAGCCTAGAGAAGAAAAGGGAGAGGGGGTTGCAGGAGAGCTCCCTCCCGAGATGTTCGGGAGTTCATGGCACTTGGGACCAAAGTCTAAAAATGACATGATTAAGATTAACTAAAAGAGGGTAGAATGTCCTGAAGAAGGAATGAAGTAAAAAAGTTCTGGAGACTTGGGAGTTGGGGAGCTACGTTCACTCGAGAGCAAGGGCGTCTAAGTTCAAATGGAGAAGAAAAGCACTGCAGGGTCCCTATTTAAAGGAAAATGAATGGCCGGGATTTCTCTAAATCTGACGGCTGAAACCAATCCACTCCCACCATCCAACTGTGATGCACCACCTAGTGCAGGCCCTCGGAAGACAAAACGACACCCAAAGCAACGGTTCAGATCGGCACAGATCCAACGGACGCGGGAGCCCCCTAGTGCAGGCCCTCGAAAGACGAAACGACGCTCAAAGCAACGGTTCAGATTGATGCAGATCCAACGAATGTGGGAGCCCCTCGTTCCTGCGAACTAGTCTCACCGCACCTCCTAGCGCATGCCCTCGGAAGGTGAAACGACGTTGGGTGAACTGCAAAGACCACTCGCAGCAACTCGTCGAGCGAACCGGAAGGCCCGCTTGTCACGGGCCGCTGAATATATCGTGCAACCCAGCAAACACAGGACTCCTGGGACGGCCATCCCCTGCACGATAGCTCTGCTAACGTGACCTACCCTGTGATAGGTCCCAGTCAGCAGCTACGTGTATAAATGCTCTTCTTAAGGTGAGAACAAACCACAAAATTTCATTGAACTTCAACTGCCCATCCAAGCTGGTTGGGTGGTGTTTAAATACAAGAAATTCTTAACTACCTACCAATAAAATAGCCCCTAATTAAGGGATTAGCATTCTAACTAGCTGGCTGATCCCTAAGCCATAGCAAAATAACAAACTAACAATAATAACAAACTAACAATAACAAACTATTTGGCCGATCCCTATGCCATAGAAAAATAACAAACTAACACAATAACAACTAACTAATTTGGCCGAGATATTCTCCTACCAGTTATTGACTCATTCTAAAGCAAAAAAGACAGAAATAGAAGCACGTCCAGCATCACTCCATGTACCTCAGATTCTTCCTGGGCACCCTAGCAGACCTTCTTAACTCATCACCGTGCGGGATACGGGACACCCCCGCCAGGTTGAGGCATCCACATCGCTCGCGCTTTTGAACTAAAGAGTGATGGCACAAATAGCAAAGACTACGCCACTGCAGGGCATCCCTTGGCTGACGACCACTACTCCCAATGACCAAAGTTGAAGCCTCACTTCGATTACCACCCTCATTACGGGCAAAAGCCGAGGCCTCACCTCGGTTTTGGGAGTGGGGGGCAAGTGATGTGGGTTAGCTTGGCCCAGCCCACATAGGGCTAGAAGGCCCAGCCCACTAACACCTACTAACGTCAACCACAGTAGGCGAGAGACTTGTTGCCTTCGTACGAAGCCAATCACATAACTATCTAGCATACTACGAGGGCTTGCAGTCTGACCTCGTACGACTCTCATCCAAGGCAGTCATCTTCACCTACCACCAGAACGCTCAAGTATAAATAAGAGGTAACTACCCCTTAAAAGGGGCTGGAACAGAGTAACTCCAACATCACTCACTCATTTACTTCCTACACCTACATTGTCTACCTAGCATTAATTCAGGGAGATTTGGTGCATCTGAGGACTCTCTCTAGGAGCACTTTTGCACTCTCCCCTACTTCACACCTCTTCCTAACTTGAGCGTCGGAGCCTCCGCCTCGGGTATCCACCCTGAGGTCTCTGACACTTCCTATCTTGTAGCATCTCAGGTCACCGGGGACCCCGCCTCGACTAGCAATCCTTGGCTACCATAGTCCTCGGAAGGAATACTTCGCTTTGGCTTGTCACCCTCGGCTTCGATCAACCTCTTCCGAGGCCTCGAGGTCCTTGGCTAACGCTCGAAACTTGAAGGGTGAATTTACCTTGTTGCCCTTGGCCAACCCACGCGGCAACAATATTAAATTATGTGTTTTTTATGTATTTATACCTTATTCATAATTATTTTAAATTCATATTTAATACTATTAATATATTTATGGAATTTGTGAATGTTTTCTTAACATTTTGAACATGTATTCATGTCTTTTCACCATATCCATACATAGCCTTACAAACATGTCAATACAATTTCTAATATCAATAGTTTTAACTTTGAACTCTGAACCTTGCCTTTGGAGAGCGGTTTCAATGTTTTATGAAGCCTAACTTTGACGATAACAGCCTTATTAATCAAGGACCTTCAAGGGCGGAAAGAGTTTTTAGGAATGAAGGTCATATTGTTACAGTGTAGTTCAGGTGAGATAGATCATAGAAGTAGAAGATCCTACAAGGGCAAAACTTATGGCTGTAATCAGTGGGCAAATGAAGGGACTAAACGATCATATAGAAATGAAATCAAGAAATGTGGCTTAACAGAAAGATTCTTGCGAAAAATCCAATGGGTGTGAAGATCAGCTAACTGCATGACTAACACTTTAGCAAAACAAGGGGCAATCTCTCTCTCTCTCTCTCTCTCTCTCTATATATATATATATATATATTGGAAAAGTAAACTGAATAGGGAGTGATAGTAAATAACTACTATTTTGGAATAAATAACTATGCTCTCCATTGTGTATATTTTCGCATTCCATGCTTACAAATTTCAAACAAAAGTAGGAAAAATTATAAATTCCATCACATATGACAGCCTAATAAACCATAAATTCTGCATTGTAAATAGCAAATTGGACACGGATAATAGTAAGAAATGATTTAAGCACTAATTATTTAAGTGGATATGGCTTTAAATAGAGCAGATTGGCAAAACAAGATTCATGTAGTTGACCCCATATAGTTCGGCAAAGGCATGGGTGATGATGAAAGATGTCACTAAGTTTATGAATTCCATAGTAACGTTGTTCTTAGTTGTTGAAAATTCCCTAGTAATAGTTGCAAGTCTTATTGTTTCAGTCCTTTCAAAAGTTTACCACGATACATATCTTAAAAAAAAAAAAATAATAATAAAATAACAAACTACATTACTTTAATATACATTTCTTAATCCTACTCCAAGTTTTCCTTCAAGAGTTTTGATTACTAGATATACAGACGGTACAACTGATGACTGTCAAAAACTATAATGGAATTTGTTGATACATCAGTGAGTTTTCCTGGGTGCTAGCTAGCAAGACGGTCATTAGTTGAAGTTGAATCTCCTGCCTTTGTCCAAGCCGTAGTTGCTTAGTTGCTATTGATAATGATGTTTGAAGAAGTCTTTCCATAATAGCTATCCTTGACATGATAGGAACATAATTTTTTATAGTCAAACAATGAAGACAAGTACAGAAGTTAAGTGAATAGAGATCAAAGTAGCATCACACAAAAAAAGCAATGAAAAAAAAAGTTTGCTGGTCTTGATGAAAAGAAACCACATACCTCAATCAATTCCCTTCCTTACAGAGCTGCAACATAGTGCTCATGCTAGTAAAGTTTGGAAGCTTCTCTCTTGAGGCTTTCCAGATACGGAAATATTCTGGCCGAATGGGATCCATAATACAGTGAAAATATTTCATCAAGTTGATTTATACTGTCCATTACAGTACTGTCGCCCAAAGAAAGCTGGATGGATGCAAGTTTAACCAATTCATTTCCAATGACAATATGGTTGGTACTGTAAAGCTTCTCAAGGATCTGGAAAATTGATGAAACCATAAATATTCATTTAGATCTATATACATGAAAGTTTTTTAAAGGTAATGAAAACTTGATCCAAAGGATTACCACAGAACTCAAGTTTCCCAAAGGAAGAGCAAACAATCACTGTTTAAGAATGAACATATCAATACAGCCAACAAGATACAGAGTCAGAATAACTCCTTGCATATCTTTAGTTGATTAAGTGAAATTTTGACAATTCGATCATGTGAAGTTTTTCAACATACTGATCTTTGGGATAATCATTATATGTCATATTACAAGAGAGAAGTGTTATAAATTTATATAATTCAGCAGGGACAGTTACAGTACATTATGCATGTGTCGTATTACAAGAGAGAAGTGTATACTCTTCAATTTTTTGATCAACAATATGGACTCAACTCCCATCATTTTAGCACAATGTAGTACTCTCTGACTTCTACCCACATTTTCACACTTGTTGGCCTTCACCAATGTGCCCCTCCCAAGAAAACCCTGTATAGCCAGGACCAACAATGGTGTATCTGTGGCACTCATGTTATATTTAGTTAATAGATCTGTAGAAATGATCCATTACATTTAAGTAATGACATACCTGTTAGAAGAAGTTATCTGTTACAAGTTGAAGGGGGTTGAATTGAAGAGCTAGGGGCAGACCAGAAAGGACTCAGGTGGAAGTGGTAAGAAATGGTTTATGTGCCCATAATTTACTGATGAATATGGCATTGTACATCACTTCATGCAAAAAAATGCCAAAGGTTTGGTTTCGACCATTTCCAGTCCACCCCTCCCAAGACAGTAGACATAGCTGGGACCAACATTGGGTGATGGCCTTGTATATGGCATTGAACAGGATGGAATGGCAAAACAGGATTCATGTAGTCAACGCCATATAGTTGGGATTATGATGATACGTAGAAATGAAGGTAGACCATAACAACATGAAAAGGGGTGTCAATGGACCGGATTTGGGTTGGACTCCATCCGAATCAAATCTAATATTGGATGGGTTGGACCATCCAAAGATTGTATTGGATTGGACAGGTCCATATTTTATGGTCAACTATAATTAACAGACTGAAATGGACAATCCCAGTTGGTCCACAAACCGTCTGATCAATTTAGGTATATACTTGGTTAGCTGTCCAGTACTAGCTTGTTCATGTTTTATGTTCGAATCAGCCTTACTAACTTGGACTCCATCCGAATCAAATCTAATATTGGATGGGTTGGACCATCCAAAGATTGTATTGGATTGGGTCCATATTTTATGGTCAACTATAATTAACAGACTGAAATGGACAATCCCAGTTGGTCCACAAACCGTCTGATCAATTTAGGTATATACTTGGTTAGCTGTCCAGTACTAGCTTGTTCATGTTTTATGTTCGAATCAGCCTTACTAACTTCTTTTTGGGGGTATTTAGTAGCTGCATTTTGGAGTTTACTTTTATAGTTGAATGAATTCTAACTCTTGGATGAAGACCTAGGGTTTAGACATCAGACATTCAATTTCTTTTGTAATTTCAAGTTCTTGACATGCATATTTTAAGGAACGTCAGTTGCTACAGAACAATTATTCTGTCTATTCTTTACAGAAGCGATGCCAGTCCATTAATTTAGGTGAAGTTAATGGACTTTCTATTCTGTCTGTTCTGGACTTTCTAGCAGTTACAGAAGCATAGGCACTGCTCAAGACGAGGACTCTGATGCTTCAAATTCAAAAGTAACAGTCAGCTTCACTCCTACAACCACTTTGTCTTCCAGGTTTCCTCATTTTCTGCTTTACACTCTTTTTTTGTCTTTTATTTTTGTTGTCATTGCTTTCTAGGTACAGACTACAGAATATCACCATTTACACATGGCCTTTTAATATTTGATGTTTCATTCGGCTTGGATTGGATTGGACCAAATCTGGTCCATTTGAATTTTAAGTGGATCGATTTGGACTTTGTTTGTATGGATTCGGACCGGATTGGGTCCGGTCCATTTGTAAATGGATTCATGTTGGATTGGATCGGATTGGACCAAATTCAGTCCAATTAACACCCCTAAACATGAACAATATGGAATTCTCTATTCTCTAACATGTGCCGATGCATCAATCAAATACATTAACATGGAAAACATTGTAAAAAAGGCTTTCATGCATGCATAATCACATAAGACATGGCAAATATACCTGAGGTATAATATAGATTTAGATGAGCATATCATGCATAATTGTGATACCTATATTGCCATCAATATGGAATTTCTATGAAATACTGAATCCATAAATTCATGCTGTCTCCTGATTCATAATTTTATGCTATCCTATATTGTACGGATTTGTGTTTATATTTAACAATTGATTCACTTAAAGTCAACGATGAGTGGATTTAGATAAGCATATCATGCAATCTTGTGATGCCTTAGGTTGCCAGCAATATAGAGTTTCTATGAAATACTAGTCCTGTAAATTCATGTCGTCACCTGATCCATAATTTCATATATGGCTTTGAACATATATTTGGTAGTTGATTCATTTAAAGGCAAGGGTGAATGGGCAGACCAAGAAGGTCAACACAACCAAAACAAGGATGTTGAGATGAACAATTGGAAGGTTTAGGCTAATGAATAGATGGGGTGGACCCAAAGGGTAACTAGAAGAAACCAAGATCAACTATTAAACCAGTGAGGGCCTCTATTACATGAACACTTCAAAATGTGTGACATACCCATGTTGGACACCAATTGACACTCACACTGGCATGACAATTGAGGGGACTCTTTAATATGTGAACAAATAACCTAAAACTTAGTCTTCAATCTTGAATTGTAATATTTGATAATGTAGCATACTCATTTTTCCAAGAAAGGTAAAATATAGTTCTTTTATTATAATCAATGATAAATTATTTTAATCGTTTAATGTTGTTTGCATTGGTTTATGGCTCTACTATTTTTTTTCTTTTCAAATAATTATTCCCTTAATTGTTTGATCTAGCTAACCCCATATAGTTGGGATGAGGCTTGGATGGTGATGATTCCATAGTTATATGAAAAAATAATATATTTATTACTATTATTATTAAAAACAAAACCAAAAAAATTGAAGTATCTTTCCAAGTCCTTGAATCCTATTTTTTTGAACTTGCCAAGCCTGAGACCTTGTTTCTATGTTCAGTACTCTTATTCATGAAAGATAACTACATAAGAACTGATCCATTGCAAGTTGAAGGGTCTAAAAGGATAACTGGAAGCCAGAAAGGATGTGGATCAATGTAGAAACAAATCCAAACAGGTAGGAAGCAGAAATGATGGTGACAGCAGAAATGACCTGGTCATGGTCACAATATGTCTTGTGACCATGACCAGGTGCATACTAACCAGTGATTAAAAAGAAAGAAAAGACACCGACTGGGAAAAATATCATAAACTCTATTTAAAACAAAAGATGTACCTTAATTGATGCTTTACTGTGGTCCATGGCAGGGTGCAATTCTCCTATTGAACAATATGCCGCTGCAAGATTGTCCTCTGCCTGTAATAAAATATAATATCATGTGGTAGTACATAAAAATCGTAATTGTGAGTCAGAGTTATTGTCTATATAGCATAGCTATGCCATCCAAATCCATTGATCCCATGAAGTACAGCTGAGGCAGTGAGAGACCAGATTCTATTCTTTTTCTCAAAGCATTTTCTACTCTTATAAAAAGCACTATTAAAAATAGCTCACTCCCAGAAAACAAAAGAGGGTTAGCAGCTGCTACTTAATACAAGATTGACTAATTATAAGATGAGGGAGACCTACCTCTGCCATGTCCTTATTATATGCATGCAATGTTGATCTCAGTATATAAAGTGATTCCAAAGCATCCGTGAGTGTATTAGTTGCAACTTCCATTGAATTTATTGCATTGTGCAGCCTGTTAGAATTGAATTTCTAATTTTTAGTATGTTTCATCCTCAGAGAAGATTAAAGATCGTGTGCACAGTTTCAACTATTAACCATTGCAAATGGGATCTGTTCAAGGAATAGTACCATGGTAGGATACAAAGCAGCAAAACAATACAGTTTCATTGTACCTATAGATATAGATCTCAGCTTTCTTGGCTGTGGCATGTGAGGATTCTAGATCATTATAAGAACCACAATTCAAACAATATCCAGGATCAACTTGAAAGGTTCTATTGGTTTGTTCAAGCAGGAGCTGGGCCACTTTACTGATGTCTTCTCTTTTCAGTTTGTCAATCTTCAAAATATGCAGATGCTTCAGTGACAAAGAAAATAATATTGAAATGCTTCATGCTAATAGAAAACCTAGAGTATCCCTTGGCAGGGGACGCCATAAGGATTGATGGTCTAGAAAATGAACACAAGCATTGTGCTGCCTAAGCAGGAGTTAAAAACTATTATTTAATAAATCCTACAAAAGAGATCTCCAAATTTGTCCCAATAAATTAGTGATCATTACCAACCTTTTTTGTCAATGATTCACCTTTTTCTTTTGATTTCCTTTTTCCTTTGAATTTTGTCCAAGGACAAGGAGTGAAGTATATAAGTTGAACCCTACCATCAATTCACTACCTAACAATGGGATACAATCCGCTATTTTATAGCTGGTTCCTACACAAGGAAGCACCAAAATATTTGATGTGAACAATATGAATGTCTCATCTTTATCAACTCTACAAAGCTTTGTAACCTCCAATTGAGTGTGGCTTCATCTTCCACAGCTAGATCAGTGGTCTCTTTGCGATGGTGCTTGCCATGTCCTCACCTTATCAAATTATATTTTGATGACTGCAGTTTGGGCAACCCAAGACCATAAAGTGTAGAAAGAGTTCTTTTTTTTTTTTTTGATAAAACAAAAATAAAGTTGGGGTGCAACACRAGGACTTCCCAGGAGGTCACCCATCCTAGTACTACTCTTGCCCAAGCACGCTTAACATCGGAGTTCTGATGGGATCCGGTGCATTAGTGCTGGTATGATCACACCCAACTATTTTTGGACCTATTGACTATTTACTCTGGACCTATTGACCAGAGTAAATAGGGCACAACTATTTTTGGATTGCTGGAGGTTGAAATGTAACCAGAAAAGTATGGGTTAGGTGGCAGATGCCAACCTAAAAATGGGATGTATGGAATGGTTGTATATAAATCATTTTTTCTTCTATCTAAAATAAGTTAAGAGTGATCAATAAAAAAAAAACAGTAGTTGGATTGTTCAGACTATACATTTCTGTTGCATTTTGCATCAGAAATATCAGGAAAGATATTAATGGTGGTCTACATTCTCCTGCTTGTCAATCCATATGACAAATATCCAAGAACAAACCCAAAATAGTGCTTCTTCTTAGTATATGCTTTGACAGGAAAGAAATTCAAACCAACTGGAATGGAGAATGAGAATATAGCATACAGGTAAATGGCGCTCAAAGCTGCCAAAATTTGGAATAACTTGTAACCAACTAACTTTTTGTTGTGTATGCTTAGCCATACAACTATCTAAAACTGTGCCAAGACAATTTGGTTTTGCACACCGAAATGCATTTATAACAAGATCAGATAAATTCATTTCAGAACATCCACCACACTGGCACTTGAATGAGTATCGATCTTCCAGTAATTGCTGGCGGACTTTGAATTCCTGCTGGCCAACCTGCAAAAACAGAGAAATATCAACTTTTATCAGTACAAACACACATACAACCAATACAGCAGATCAATCCATTTAAATCCAAACCTATGCAGTAGAGGCATAATATCCTAATAAAACAGAAGATTCAGAAATAGACATAAGAATACTAATCAGCTTGTCTAGGATATCATACCTGTGGGCCATAAGATAGCTCCAGGGGATACCCTGCTGGCACAAATTCTGTTGTTCGTATAAAAAGGGTGCGCGAAATGAAATATGCATGAACATTTGGCTGGCATGAATGGTTAAATAAACTACCAGCTGGATAAATGGCTTGACCAACTCTGATCTACAAGAATGAAAATAATCAGAACAGAAATGATCAAAGGAGATGAAATTTATACCAACTGAATATTTCAGGACAAAATTGCAAACTTTGAGTGATAACAAGACACATGCCAACAATTCTTAGTAATACATTCTTCAATCCAAAAATAATTAAACGGCATTAGTTAAATAGAAGATTCCTCATTTGATTTAGTCTGTAAAAGATGAAGAAGAAGATAGGGAAGAGAGGAAGAATAGAAGGAAATGTGATTGTGTGTGTGATATTTTATAATATTAGTATTTAATGTCATATATGGTACACTAGGCATATACAAGTATTTGGGTGCCATAGATTGTATTGAACCCCCCAAAAAAACTTTAAAAATTATTGTACAAGAAATTATTCAACAAGAATTATCAGAATGAAAACTAATGCAAAGATAATAACTTATTGAAAAACAGTAACCAAGGCCAGGTAAAAACCAATAAAATAATGATGAGTACAGACCTGTTCTATATTGCTAGTTAAAGCACCTTTAGTAGATGGTTGACTTCTTGACTGCTCTAGTGGCCCATAGGCATCTACTGACTTCATTTGGACAATTGCCATAGAATTCACCTTGATTTGACATATAAGAATAACCAACTGCATCCATATATCAAAGGACTTGAGAACAACTTAGAGTAAAATTTTTGTTTTACACTTTAGCAAGTTTCAACTAAGAAATTAAGATCAATTATCAGAAAGCCTTTTTCGTTGTTGATTTTATGGAAAATGCATTCGATGTAAGAGCTAATGAATAAAATCTAGTTTTTTTTTTAATTTTTCATGTATTTATGGCTAGTAGGAATATAAAAATAATTTTAAGAAGTTATTTCCATTATTTCAGTCAATAGTTTGTTTTCCTAAATGCATTAGGGTCTTTTTACCACCACCAAATTGCATTAGGAGTTGGTTTTCCTAATTATACCAAAATTTAATTTTCCTAATTTGATTAAGAGTTAAATTAGAAAGTAAGAGTTAAGTTACTAAGTTAGAGTCATAATTCTAGCAAAATTGGGAATTATTTTATTTTTGTCTGTAGAGAACAGTGATGTGGTCCCCACTGTGTTCGTGTGATTGTAGTTAGCAGTTAGTTATTTCAGTTGGTAGTTATTAGTTCTTTTATTATTTTTCCATGTAAGCAGTAAGGGCGACAATTGGCCCTTCTCCTCTTCTCATCTCTTTGTCTTCTTATCTCTTCTCAATCTTTCCTTTGTTTATTTCACATTGAACCTAGGACTGATTGCAGTCCTATTCGACTACTTGGTATCAAAGCCAACCTAAGAGTTCTTATGCTAGTCTAATCAGGCTGACCACATGGGAACTTCCTAGGGTTGGAAGTTCCAGCAGAAAGAAGGTCATCGGCTGATTCTTGGAGGTTGCTGGCAGTGTGCGGCTGCTACTCAAGGGACTGTAGAACCTTGGAGAGATCCAGCGATCAGGAAGAATCAGAAGAAGGTTGGAATCCTCAAGATTAGGGTTCAGACATCAGTTAGAAGTTGGCAGCCAGAGTTTTTTCCTGAAGTAAGTTGATTTCCTTGAGATCGATCTAAAAAAGGGTTCCTTTTGTTTATTCTGAGAGGTGCGGTTAGGAAATCTCTTCTCTTCTCTTGAGGTTTTTAGGGTTTTAAGAGAAAACCCTAAAACTCAAGACTGTTGTTAATTCTGGAGCAGTAGTTGGACCTGTTCCCATTCCAGACTGAGTGTTTTTAGTTCTCTGGAGATCTAGTAGAGCTGTTTTATTATTTCTGGGTAGTTGCCGAACCTAATTCACCCTCCTAGGTCGGCTGTTAACAATTTCTGGGTGCAGTTTCACTTATCTCAGTGCTAAAAAGGGTGTTTTTTGATTAATATCTTAACAAGAATGGAGTTTAAGAATCAAGGGGGAGATGTTTTGTGGGCTGGTGGTTCTGGTAACATGTTTGAGAACACCTTTCAGATTACAACTGTCAAGTTTGACGGATCAAACTACTTAGAATGGGCCCAATCATTTTTGTCACCTAGAAGGGCGCCTAGTTGCTAAAAGTCAAGGCGCTTGGGCGAGGTGCCCAGCCAAGGGCGCCTAGGTGACGCCTTGACAACTGTGGACATCAAGTTGTTTAATGCCATTTCTTTGTCTTCAGTTTTGCATGTTCCTAAACTTAATACTAATTTGCTTTCAGTTAGTAGCATTACTAAAACGGTAAAACCCATAATTGTTCAGTAACTTTTTTCCCTGATCGAAGTGTTTTTTAGGATTTGGAGACAAGGAGGGTTATTGGGATTGACCGTGAGATGAATGGAATCTATCTGCTTTGAGGGAGCTCACATTGGGAAGATAGTGAACTTAGGAGGTCTTTTGTTTCTCAGTCTGTTAGTTAGGTTATGCTTTGGACTAACCGGTTGGGTCATTTATCTTTTAGGTCTTTGAAATGTCTAGTTTGTTTGAGTCCGTCTAGGTGTCCAATTTGAAATGTGAAAGTTGTGAACTTGCAAAGCATTGTAGAACAACCTATTAATTGAGTAATAAAAGAAAGTAGTATTCCTCTTGAAATTGTGCATACCGATGTTTGGAGACCTTATCACATCACTGCTATGGGGGGGTATAGATATTTCTTGTTGTTTGTTGATGACTATACCCACTTTTCTTGGGTTTACCTTATGCGTTCTCGAGATGAGGTTCCTACCTTGACCCGGATTTTTCATTAGATGATTTTAACCTAGTTTGGGGTCAAAATAAAAAATTTCAGATCCGATAATGCGAAAGAGTACTTCGCAAAACCATTAGCCTCATATTTTCTTGACCATGGGATTATCCACCAGAGTACCTGTCCTCATACACCTCAGCAGAATGGGGTTGTTGAGAGAAAGAATAGACACATATTGGAGGTGGCTAGAAGCATTGTATTTAACTCCAATGTGCCTATACGTTTCTGGGGAGATGCCATTCATACAGCTGTATATCTCATCAACCAAATTCCTTCACGGGTTCTTGACATGAAAGCTCCATTCACTCTTTTATATCCTGATAAAGAGTTGTTCACTATTCCCCTTAAAACCTTTGGTTGTACTTGCTTTGTTCAAACTCTTGGCCCTCATCGTTTCAAATTTGATCCTAAAGCCTCAAAATGTATTTCCTTAGTTATGCACAAACTCAAAAGGGATATTGCTGCTATGAACCTACTTCTGGGAGGAGGTTTGTCTTTATAGATGTCACTTTCTTTGAGGATGTACCTTATTATCCTAGGGTTTCTTCTCAGGGGGAGAGTAGTGAGGTTGGGATTCACTCACCAGAAGTTCCATTACCTATCCCAATCAGTGAAGAGGGGTGTAATGGGGAGGGTTGTTAGAGGTGTCGGGATTTGAGAGTTTATCACAAATGGTGGAGGCAGGTTGATTTCTATCATCAACAGTCTAGACCAGCCCCAATTCCTTCTATGGATCCAAATCTAGGTACCGCAGTTCCTTTATCTTCCATTACAGATGAGATACCTTCCACTGTTGAGCCCTCACCTCCATTGGATGACCTTGACCTCCCCATTGCTGTTCGTAAAGGCAAACACCGTTGCACTTCATCTACAACCCACTGTATTTCCCAGTTCCTGTTTTATGATCATCTGTCTCCTTACAAGTCCTTTGTTGCATCCATTGCTGATATTCCCATTCCCAGAACAATGCAGGAAGCCTTGTCAGTACTTGAGTGGAAGGATGCAATGAAGGTAAAAATGGACGCCCTTCTGAAAAACAATACCTGAGAGCTAGTTGATCAACCTAAAGGGAAGAAACTGGTTGGATGTAGATGGGTCTTTAATGTGAAGCATAATGCTAATGGTTCCATTGAAAGGTGTAAGGCCAGATTAGTTGCAAAGGGATTTACTCAGACATATGGCATAGACAAATTAGAGACTTTTGCACCAGTAGCAAAGATGACCATTATCAGAGTTTTATTATCTCTTGCAGCCAGTTACTCATGGCCTTTGTTTCAGATAAATGTTAAAAATGTCTTCCTCAATGGAGACTTGCAAGAAGAAGTTTACATGCAGTTGCCTCTTGAATTTTATAGTGTAGAAACAGGAAAGAAGGTTTGTCGGCTGAATAAAGCTCTATATGGACTAAAACAGTCTCCTAGAGCTTGGTTTGATAGCAAGCTCTTGAGAAGTTTGGCTATGTGCAAGTCCAGTAAGATCACACTTTGTTTATTAAGAAAGTGGACTCTTCCTTAACACTGCTTGCTGTATATGTGGATGATATTGTAGTGATAGGGAGTGATATCCGTGAGATTGAGTCTCTTAAGGAACTCCTTCATCAAGAGTTTGAGGTAAAAGACCTGGGAGAGTTACAATATTCTTGGGTATTGAGGTAAACATGGGATTTTTGTTTCCCAAAGAAAGTATGTTCTTGATTTGTTGGAAGAAACAGGGAAGCTGGGTGTTAAACCTGCTGACACGCCTATTGAAAAAAATCACAAGATCAATGCAGAAGGTGGAGAACCCCTTGAAAATAAAGCTCTGTTCCAACGGTTAGTTGGAAAACTTCTCCATCTTTGTCTCACACGACTGGATATCAGTTATGAAGTTAGTGTTGTTAGTCAGTATATGCACTCTCCTAGAACTGTAGGTTAAGTTGTGGGTAAGCAATGGACTGCGCTGGAGCTAGGCTTAACTGGGCCTCGGTTTGATCTAGTTGGGCCCTAACAACTTGTAAGTCAACTAGTATTTGTCCTATTCATGTTGATTTTCTACATGAAGTTTATGCTTTTCTTATGAAATTATGGATAATTATTAAGGAAATATGGTTATGGAACCCAGGGAACTACCTTAGGATATATATTTTTTACTTAAAAAAATCCATTGCCTAGGCAACAGTTAGGTGACTAGGTGACAAGGCGCCCCCTTGTTGCCTAGCCTTGCCTTGGCGCTTTGAAAACTATGATGGAGTCCATTCCTCTCTGTGAACCTGGCAATCCAATGCAAACTGGCACACTAACTCTAAAATTAATAAACTACTAAAACAAAGGATGTCAAATCTGTGGACTCCAACTTAACAAACTTCTTCTATTGACCATAACGGACACACTACTACCTCAATCAACATGAAACTTAAACTCTAAACGCCCTAGGCTGGGGAAAGTCAACATATGGGACCCAGTGGTCAAATAGTTGATTTCAACTTTGACTTGATCCTACAGGTACATAAAATGAAAAAGAAAGAAAGATTTAAGAGAGTGTCATGTATACCTGTGAAATAGAAGCCCCAGTCAAAGAAAACTCAAGACCATAAGACTGCTGAAGGCAGTAAGCCAGTATAATTGAGTAAATATGTGTTTCTAGTTTTCTTTCTAAAGTCATTTGTGCATAGTTATTTAAAAGCTCCTACAAGAAAAAAAGGGTGATTAGTTCCTATCATAAAATGACAAAATTGGGCAGGAAAATTAGCAAGGATCCGACAAATACCAAAGATTCAATGGTTTCAGAACCCCCCTTGGAATGACCTTTGTCAACTATAGACTTCACCAGAGCTCGACCGGCCAAGACAATTTCACATGGTAATACTGCAGGCCAATGTGCACCTCCACACTCATGTCCATGTTCAAAGAAGTGGTCAGCATTTGCATCTACTAAAGCATATCCAGAATCAATGGCCAAAGTCTTAGCAATGTATCTTTCAAGATCAGGTGGCACACTTTTAGGAATAGAATAATTGTTTGAATTGCTTCCAGATGGTTTCCCCCCTGCTTTTGCTTGGCAGTGCTGGGAACAGTATAATGATATTGAGCATGATGTGCAGGGAACCATATCTGCTGGTAGTTCACTCAAGCAGAAATGGCAATAATTGTCCCGGCAATGTTTTAACAAAATCTGCATATCACCACACAAAGTAACAATTGTCTATTAATTAACAAATACCTTTGACTTACTGTAAATAAGATCTAATAGCTGCAATTATACAGATGAATAGGGAAATGATAAAACTGTTGATTGCATATGCCAAGACAAAAATAATAACTTGAAAAGAAAAGTGGAGAGGGGGAAGAGTCTATCCACTATGACAGATGCACAAAAAGTGAAAATAGCAGAATTCTTAAAGACTATAAGACAAACCAACATTAACATTCAAAAAAAATGTTGATGACTAATCAAATCAATCCCAAAAAAATTATCTTCCCTAAGAAAATACCAGAAGTGGTGGGATATGTTGGGTAATACCGCTTTTAGTGAATAGAATGCAAATAAGAAATTGCCTAGTTTTCTAAATTCGTTGTTTATACTTCTTATTACCCAATGTTTACTGAACAAGTCCCACTATGGTACCAAAAGGTGTTGTACCTGAAAAACTTATATCCAATCAACTAGTATTCGTCCATATGGTAACCAATCAACTGGTATTCATCCAAATTCACATGGGTTTCTGATTAGTTAAAAATGTTCAGTTACCATACCTTTCTGGAACCATAGAAATTGCCTTACTGAATATATATTCTTTTATGACTTCAAATTTAACTAATTTAGAACCCACTTTTATTTTCTAAGATATGTAACTATTTTTTTTTTATGAGCAACTAAGATATGAAACTCATTCACTTTCTAAGTTCTATTATTGTATCTACATTCATATTTATTAATGCATACTCTTCATAATATAGCTTTTATTTTTACACTTTGTTTATATGTATTACATTTTTTGGGTTTGGGAATTATTCATTATCAGGGGAAAATATGCTTTTTTACTGTATTGTATTACATTCATATATAACCTGATGAAGTGGGGCATGTCCTCCAAGACAGATTCTTCTTCTTCGAACACATTTAAGGTGGTAAAAGGGCAGTTCTGAAGATCTAGCAGAGCTGACACATCTTTCAAAGTGATAGTAGTGCCACTACTCATACAGATAGAATCAGCAGCAGTATGATTGATTCTTGTCTGAAAACCCTAGATTCTAGTGAAAGATGAATTTAGGATGATTTTCATGTAGGCTTCAAGGTGGAATGAAGAGGTTTGAAATTAGTTATAGATTTTATAGTGGACAACTCAAAAGATTCCAGATTTGGTTTTCTAATTGCTGCGGTCTAATGGTGGATGATCTAAGGAAAGGAATCTGATAAGATTGAGCTTCTTCGAGGGAGCTCTGCCTCCTGAAATGGATTACACAGAGAAAGAGAAGAAAGAATTGGGAGGGAAGAAGAAGAAAACTGGAGGGAAAACTCAGATCTGTCTCTTCTCTTCTCACAATGGAATATTTATACACTCAATTATAACTAACTCCAATATGACCCATAAACCCATAATGGATCAGTGCTGACGTGGCCTTTGAGTGTAGACATATCTGAATGGAGGAATGAAGCTCATGGCTTTCCTGTAGCTGGCTGACTGTGTCTTTCTCCTCCTCTGGCACCCTGGGCCTGGGCCAAAGCCTTGGTGTTGGGCGGAGCCTTATCAACTCTCTCCCCCTTGAGACAAGCCTTGCCCTCAAGGCTTATGAGGGAACTGCTGCAGGAGTTTGGCAAAGTCCTCCCATGTGGCACCATCTTGGCCTCTTGGGGCAGATTGCTCCAAACACCAGAACTTTCTTTGTTATTGTTGTTAGATTTAAGTTTTTTACTTCTACTGTTAGAATACTGTCAGCCTAGGCTGCTGTCAGCATGTTCTTTTCTTTATTTTTAGGGTGTGCTGCCAGGGACCTACTTGTAATTTCTTTATATCTTATTTGTTACATCACATTAACATAAAAAAAGAAGCTGGGCGCCACCAGCACTGATCTTTTGACTCTCACATATTTTTTTCTTCCTCTTCTCTTCTCTCCTCTCTTTTCTTCCTCTTTTCTTGTAAGAGAACATGGTACCAAAGCACAACTCTGGGCAATAGGAGTTGTTTTTTTCCGCTGAATCATATCCATTCAACCCAGGCATCAGATTTCTTGGACTGTGAAGACAAAAAAAAACCTAATTGGACTGATCAGAACTATTTTTTGTTGCTTCTTCTGGGTTCTTCCTTGGTCGTAGCACCAAGGTAACCCTAGTAGGAGGAGGCCAATGCTGTGAAGCTTCCTTATTTTCCATTGGCTGATGCTGTGAGGGCTTAGTTGTGATTTTTGCATCTTCATACAGGTTCTGTAGAGGGGTGTGTGATCCCCTTTGTCACAGGTATGTACTGTGTTTAAATTGGTGTGCAAAGTGTGAAGATTACAACAGTATTCTCCTTATTTCTGGACTGTTTAGCTGCTGCCAGTAGCTCTTCAGTATTGTGTACCTGTCTTCAGAAGCAGTGTGTGGGGTTTTGTGCCCTAATTGTGACTGTTAGAAGTAGTACTGGTGTGAGGACTGGTCTTGTGCACCTGCAGTTTTGTTTTTGACTTGTAGACCTGCCTTTGAAAATGGCCAACGATGATTCTGCTTCATCTGGGGTTACATCAACCCATAGTACAGCAGGTATGGGGACTGAAAGTATGATGTTTCCTATGCCAATTACTCCTTTAAATGGTCTGAACTACCTGGAGTGGGTCAAAGGTGTAAAACTTTATATAACAGCAAGGGGAAAAGCTGGTTACATAAATGTAAGGGTGAAAGAACCCAAGAGTGGGACTGCTGAACATGATCGGTGGGACCAAGCAAATAGTATGGTGATGTCCTAGCTTCTTGCAGCCATGGAATCTGATGTGAAGAAGAACTTTATGTGGGCAGACACTGCAAATGAGATATTGGAACGGGCCAAAACCTCCTATTTTGAGCAAAGGCACTATGCTAGATCTACCAATTACAAACTGAATCCTCAACCTGTAAATAGGGAAACCGTAGCTTATCAGCCTATTATTCAGCCCTTACCTCAGTATGGAAGGAATTGGACCACTAACAGGCTATAGAATGGAAATATGATGATGATGCTAGAGCCTAATAGAAGCTGGTGTCTCAACAGCAGGTTTTTGCCTTCTTGTTGGGACTAAACCCCATATATGAACCCCTTAGAGTTAAGATTTTAGGAAGTAAAGAGTTGCCTTCAGTTCAAGAGGTGTATGCCCTTGTTCAATCTGAGGAAAGTAGGCGGAGTGTGATGGTTGCAACTAAGGGGGAGAAACAGGTAGCATTAGCTGCAATGGGTGGAAATAATATGGGAAAGAAAAATGACTCCAGGAAAGCTGATGATAAGGATAAGTTGTTTTGCACCCACTGTCGTCGTTCAAGACATACACATGATACATGTTGGGAGTTCCATGGGATACCAAAGTGGGCTGTAAAGAACCAAGAACAGGGTAAGGTACATGGTCAGAAGAAGCCTAATACAGCACACAATGCAACAAATGTGGTAACCCAAGAAACTCAATCTGCTGGGGTACCAACTGATACTACTACGGAGCACTCCATTGGTTTTGACCCCAAGGAAGACATTATGAACTCCTTCCGTAGTAACTTGGAATCATATGGTAGGGCCTTGTGCCAGATGGACAGTTCAGCTACTGGTAACCCTTCTACTTCATTTGTGTCTATATCAGGTAATGCAGCTTCTACCTTCCATGTCTCCACTGCCACTGATTCCCCTTGGATCATTGACTCAGGGGCTTCTAATCACATGACTGGTAAGCCAAACCTATTCCAGTCTTGTAACCTTTTGTTAGGAAGGGATAAGGTGAGACTTGCAGATGGATCATTTTCCTCCATTGCAGGCCAAGGATCAATATCCCTTCCTCGTAGACTTAACCTGAATAATATTTTCCATGTCCCTCAGCTTCCCATCAACCTTCTTTCTATTAGTAGTATTACAGACTCGTTAAATTGCAATGTAACCTTTTTTCCTGATTCATGTATTTGATAAGACCCAGAAACTTGACACACAAATCTCAGACACACAGCAGAATTCACACAACTAGAACATCAACAAAAGAACTGGTATTCATTCAGAAGAAAAGAAGAACATTAACAGTGAGACCGCCGGCTCTCCCAATCACTCACAGTATTCTTCACTCAAAAAAAGCCTCCCCCCCCCATCCCCCAAAGCCCCTTCTTATACTCTTCTTACAGCATAACCGACTCCCTCAATAAATGCCTAGCTGGCCAAGTTATAAATGTCCACACTCTTCTTATTCCTAACTGACATAGCTATAAATGCCTCAAGACTCTCCTTATTCCCTCCAGCCATAATTGCCCCCATGTTCAATTATTTCCCCCCTTAGCCGAAAGCTGACATTTCCCCTTCCTGGCATACGTAAGGTTAATTGGGGGCCTATCATTACCCGCCACCCAAAGTCTAACCTTGTCCTCAAGGTTAAAATGAGGAAATTGGTCTCGAAGCAAGCCAAAAGGCTCCCAAGAATCTTCAAAATCAGGTAGGCCCTGCCAATGAATAAGCACTTCCAACCCAGTAACTCCAGGCATAGTGGATGGACGCACACCGCACACTGATATGTCCCTGCACAGGCCAAGCAGCAGCATCGCCCAATGCACAGATGGTGTGTCTGCTTTGTCACCTCTTGAAGCATGTCTATTTCCTCCAGCTTCGCGTTTCCAACCTTCAGCCTCTCCATGATCATCCGCAGCCATCCTGTCCCCTCCTTGCATGGTGTCCACTGCCCACGACTTTCATGCTTATAGAAGTAAGAGAGCCTAGCAATTGCCTCCACAATATCAGTTGACTTGTCCATCACAATTACARCAGCTGTCCCTAAACCCGTTTGGACAGCTTTGAGTGCATCATAATCCATCAACACATCATCACATATGTGCTTTGGAATCAGTGGAACAGAAGAACCCCCTGGTATCACTGTAAGAAAATTATCCCATCCACCTCTAACTCCACAATGCCTCTCTATCAGCTCCTTCGATGGAATACTCATCTCCCCTTCAACTGTACAAGGCTTATTCATGTGGCC